AGTTATTATACATCTGATTGACAGTTATAGTTTTGATTTCTGTTCTAATAGAATTCTAAATATAACATGAAAAACGGATAATTTTATAGTTTAAAATATCTTTTTTGTTACTTACCAATAACGTTAATCCACCACCACCATGTTCCTGAATCATTGACCAACGCATAATGTAATATTTCCTTACTATAATTTTTATGTTCAAGTTCTTCGAGACAACTCATTCGCGCTTACTGCACCTGTAAATAATAATATGTTTACTTAAATAAATCGACAAACTATCGGCTACTTTTATATATGTAGCGTTATAGCATAGCATGTTAAATAATACACACGCTCTTTTCTCCTCTTTCTCTTTCTCTCACATACACTTTCGTTCTCTCTATCTCTGTTTCTTTGAATGACAGCCTTCCATCATTGATACTGTATTTTTAAATTACCTCTCTTATCTTTTGAACGACAGACTTTTTGTGTGTGCGTTTGTGTGTGTGTGCGCTGATGATGCTATGAATATGAAGAATAGAGAAAAGGAAAAGAAAGAGAGAATCGGAAATAACAAAGACTATTTTCTTCTTTTTTCTTCTCTAATAATAATTTTGGTTAGATAGATAGACATTCATCTCTGTATTTATATTTTTATTATTGAGACCGTAAGTCTTGAAGCAACAGAATAGATAAAAAGTGGGAAAATAAAGAAATCTTTTTATAATTGTGTCAAAAATTTTGTTAAACAACTAAATTCTTTTAATTACGGGATTGAATAGAATAAAAAAGTTCTGTTTAATGAAAGCAATCACAAGATTTGTTTGTTTAAAATATTTCACACACAATAAAAGATTCGTTTTTCTATTTTTTAATTATCATAATAAGAACTTTTATTATTCTTCCTTTTCTTTTGCTCACTTAAACACTTGTTCTTTTTTTCTTTTTTTTTTTCTCGCTTGCTTTTCTGTTTTTGTTTTTTACAAGCAATAAATAAGATATAGACGCGTGTGTTCAATGAGAGAACTAAAAAAATAGTTTGATTATTTTACTTACAATTGACGTTTAATAAGTGTATTGTTTACATTATAAATATATTAGTAGTAGATCAGATCCTAAAAGAAAAGTAAAGAAGCCAAGATAAGTGCTTTAAGTAGCTTTATTCATGTTTTTATTTGAAGTTAGTTATGTAGTAGTAAGACAAAAAATATTTATGTAAGACAATAAATGGATTTAGCATCGAAAATATATAATAGAGGATCTATATAGTCGACACTTAGATAAATATTTTCTTTTCAAATCATTTCGTAGAGTCACGAGAAAAAGAAAGAGCGAGAGAAAAAAAAAACAAAAGCTATCTGTACATAACACAATAGATGATAATTATACGATTGTTTCTTAATAAAGTCTTTATAAACACATTCTATGTGTTCTATCTGTTCACAATAGTATGAAAACATTATTTTCTTCTCATAAATACACAAAATAGAATTGTTCTCAATATTCTCCAATAAAATAAATTCTTTCCGAAAGTCAAAAAAAATACTATGTACACATAGAAAAACTAATAGAGATCATAGTTGTCGAGTATAGGACAAGGCTATAGTTTCACACATCACATATCTTCTCTATTTCAACGAGATGATGTTCATGAAATGATAGTCTATTAAAACTATATCATTTTTTTGTTTTTTCTCTAACGTTTTAATTTACAAAAAAAAATGACATTTTTAAATTATACAGCCCATATGTTGTAGGAAAAAAGAAAAAAAAATGACATCTTTTATTATTATACACTTTGTGGGAAAACGTTCTTTGAAAACAAATGGATACGTGTGTAATCATGAAAAATTTACGTTTATAGCAAAAGAATTTTCAATCTTATTTAATACATACTATTATTAATTTTATATTTATCCTGTCTAATGGAACATGCAAAAGGTGAGACACGATTAACTTTTACATTCACATGCATGAAATTAACTACAGAAAAAAGTTTATCGTGATATAGATCTAAATCTATCGCAGTTCTATACTCAATGTTCCCAAGTAGTTTTTCATCTATCGAAGATGTAGAAGAATATGAGCATGAGTTACATTTTTAAATTTTTTTCGAGAAAGTTTAAGTTTGCACTACAAAAATGAATACAGGACCGAGTAACTCCATTGTTCGTATTTTCTCTTCATTTTCAAAAGTTTTTTCGATACTCACAGTAGTCGAAAAAAGATTGTTTTAGGAGATCGATTTTAATAGTGTCCAGTTTCGACAGTATAGATTTTGACATGATCATTCTATGCTGGGAATAAACGAACAAAAACAATACTGGAAGAATACGGCGCTAGTATGATCGACAGACATAGTATCTTTTATGTTAGATTGACTGTGCAGCAGGTAACAGAGTACACTCTTTTCTTTTATACACGCAAGGGAGAAACGAGAAAGAATTAGTGAACGAAAAGTAGACGAAGTTGTCGTCCTAGTGAGAAGCTTACTCGAATCTTGATAAGATCTTCCCAAGGTTTCTCTTAAATCATAGGGTTTGGTCACATAACTGTGCTACCGAAGATGTTAACAGTTTGAGATGTTCCCGCATTCTACACATTTCGTGATTTAGAAAATATAGCGATATAACCAATGACTACTTTTTCACAATTTATCTGAAAAAATATGTCTCAGTATTTTGATCCTATCTCTTGAGGGAAAGAATATGTATGAAACGGGAACATCTCAATATGTTTAACACTCTTGTCTCTTCAATTTAAGATGTTGCCGAGCTCTGAGTGTGTTCCCATTTGAGAGCCATAAGAAGGACAATAAGCAAAAAAGCGTGACAGAATTACACCTTCGATAGCACAGTTACGTGACCAAGGCAATACTAAGATAGCGTGACCCAAAAAGTTTAAGATTGTATAGTGTCAAAATACAGATGACTTTGTTTATTTTTCAATCGGGTGAGAATCTATATGAGAGAAAAATAAAAAGGTAAACGAAAATTCATTAAGATCTTACACGATCTTAGTAAGATAATTTTAACACTTGTGTGAGAAAAGTTGGAGTTGAAAATTCTCAAGTGGGATAATCTAGACCTGGTGTCAGTTTTATAAAAAAAACTTAAGTCAAACTTAAATCAAAAAAGTTCTTTTGTCTTTCTTGATTTGAGTTTAATTTTTGACTCAAGTTAGACTTAAGTTTTTTTTTATAAAACTGGCTCCTGGATAAATGTTATCTACTAATGTAAAGATGGAAAAATGTGGATTTAAAGATACGATAACCAATTGAAAATCAGACTATTTAACGTCTATTAACTCATTCTTTTATGAGAAATGGTATCTGACAGACAGCTGTTTACATGTGATCAAATGTAGAAAAAAAACATGTCTTTATAACAATATGTGCGTTAAACGTCATTATTCGTGGGTATCACACAACATTCAGTTTGCTTACTCGAGCAAAATCTATGACTCTTCAATATATTATACATATCACTCGTTTCAAACAAAAAACGTTTTTCCGATACATTTGATCTTTACATATCTTTTACTTTATTTCTGTTATTTCTAGCATGCGCAAACATCAAAACAGTGGTATTATGATGTCTCAAAAAAAAAAAGAAGATAATAATAATATGAGATAGATGAAGTAACTAAGTATTATATCTAGATTTCACTCTACAGTGATCGGATGCGTAAATAATAGATACCATTGTAATAATGTTTCACTATTCTTCTTTCAAGTGGTGGATTTCTCATATTCAATTAGACTCACCTGGAAATTGTACAATGAAATTAGAACGAATGTTTAAAGTATGGAGTAAATCTAAAAGCATAAAAAAATTGAATGGTTAAAATGGTATAATTTCGAGTACTAAACTTCATATTCTGTATGTTGTTGTTTTTTTGAATAATAAATGGTAAGAGGTGTCATACTCATGTTCTTTGACATATAATGATTACAAAACATTCATGAGAACAGTATGCCTATCAAAAATGAAGATGAATCTTCTTGTATATTGACATTATAGAAAATTTTCCTCATAAATTTTGATATATTATCATTATCATCATTTGATGTCAATATTGAAAATATCATTAAAAAAAAATAAACCCAACGTCATCACAATAGTTTATACGATATTTTTTATCATTATAGATGTAAAATAGATAAAAATCTAAACATTTTTACTTTTCAGATATTCTTTTTGAATTATTTAAACCCAATTTCTAATATCTTCCGGCAAATCAATCTGTGAACCATCTCAAATTTAATTTTGAGATTATATTATTATTCATGTTATAAATAGAAAGATAAGCCATAATGATCTCTCCTTTTAATAAGTGAGACTGATGAGTTTTGGGGGAATTTTTTTCTGGTAATTATAAGATCTCTAAATGTGGTTTTCATATATACAGATGTTTGAACATACTGATCTATAAAAAAAACAAAAATATAACCTGTCATATTAAAAGAATTTTCGTTTTTTACTTTGAACAGTAGAAAAAAAAAGGAAAAAATGACTGATTATATAGAACTCGAAATTGAGTTGAAATGAACTAAAAAATCAATGGGAAAATTCATAAAGCCTTAGGGTTCTTTTATTTTTACACTTTCTGATAGAACGAATACTAAATCGAATCATATATTTAGTTTTATTTTCCACATTCGGTGAAGAAAAAAAGATATTGATATCTTTATCGTAAATCATTTGATCTTTAGAATACGTTAAAAAAAGACGAATGTTTTTTCCTTTTTCCTTTTTTTGATAATCATATTCTTTGTCTCTCCTACGTCTGTATGAGTATCAGAGGCAGAGATCTCATATTTGGGTTATTCAACTTTAGAAAGTTTATTTTAAAACTGGTACAAAAGTTTCAAAAATTCGAAAACTTGAAAAAATGGCGAAACTATAGTCCAAATATCAGAGGTGCCTAGTTTTCGCAAATTGACGATGATACTAATTTTTTGTAAATTCTATAACTCATGTTCGCAATATGTTTAGCCATGTGACTTCGGATGTCTGAGCTTCCTACATCCAGCATCTTAATTGCTTCATTCGCTATCACTGCTTCAGTAAGATCTTTCAGTTCATTTTTCCTTAACCATGAATTGGAACCAATATTAGATGTTTTTAAGAGAAACTTCGCCAATCGATCAAGTATCTTGCCAAAGGCCGACTACGAGTGAAAAAT